TTGGAAGAAAGGCCTGGTGATCTACTTCCGAACAATCAGCCATTGAAAACCCTATGGAACACAGTTCTACTTTGACACACATGGGGTGGCCATGAGTCAGAGTCAATTCCGCGGCAGCTAAAGAACATTTGTGTAGAAGGAAAGAATGCATATATATGCTTATACATTCAGAGACTATTTCTGAAGGAACATGGCAGAAACTAGTAACAGGAATTGCCCTCAGGGAGGGGGGCAGGGGGCTGGGAACAAGCAAATGAAATAGGTGTTTTTTCACCATATAATCCTTTACCTCTTAAATTTTATACCATGAGCATATATTACCCTTTAAACATGTAATTTAATTTTTTTAATGTTCTGTGCAGTTAGTCTCTTCCCTTCTAGAGGATTCTCCAGAAACATTCTTCCAACCTGACCCCATCCTCCCAAAGCAGCACCTCATTTTATTTCATTTCCAATAGTACTGAGTGCATACTGTGTGCAAGAGTCCTCTGTCGGGCACTGCAAAAAATAGATATGTGAAGAGACATCCTGTGCTTCGGAAGAGCTTATCACAAACCGAGGCAGCAGACATGTGTATCGTTGTTGTGTAAAGCAGCAAGGGTGCTGAGCAGATGTTCCAGCCCTGTGCTGGGGGAGCCCAGAGGCAGGAGTAAATCGATTTTGCCTGGAGGATCACGAACAGCTTGACAGAGGAAGTAGCCTTTAAGCCAACCCCAATGGATAAGTAGCATTTTGAAAGGTGGAGAAAGGCATTGCAGGCTAAGCGAGAAGAGGAACCTACCTTTGTAAGTAGAAAGGTGCACCTCTGAGCAAAGCAAGTACTGTCATGCACCATATAATGTCCTTTCAGGCAACATGAGGGCACATATATGTCCGTGGGTCCATAAATTCAGAAATCCTGATCAGAGAACAGGAAGTACTGGACATAGCTAACGCTACAGCTTCCTGCACGCAACACGTGTATCTCATGTCTCTTGCATACAAAGCGATTGCACTGCCAAGCACCCATTTGTTATTACAAACCATTGTATGTACAGCAAATTTTTAATATAATAGGCTTTACAGGGGTTGGTTCATAACTCCAGGTTGTACGTAAGTCAGATGTTCATAACCTGGGGACTGTCCATATACAATATGGTGTTCTTACAGTGTCCAAATCACATTATGTCCTATTTCACAGAATGTATTGTGGACATTAAGTGATGTATGACTATAGTCTCCTGTGGCCAGAGTGTGGGGATAATGGATCATAGTGGAAGATGATTCTGGAAAGTCAGTTGAGGCCTGATGTCAAATTTTAAGTGCCCAGTTTAATTAGTTTGAAGTTTTTGATGCTGGCAAGCGGACATAGATTAAGTATTCTTTCTGTTCTTCTTTTCCATTATCCTGTTTACCATTTAGGGATATGAGTCTTACCCTCACTAGGCAGAGAACTTTAATAGTCAGCTTCCGTTTTTGTAATTTTGTTTTCTCCCCCAACTAAAACTATATGTTTGCCATCTAGTGATTAATCCTTGTCATTACAACAACCTACGTACAAATCCTTGTTTCTCAGTGCGTCGGTAACACTCACAGGCCTCCAAACTCCACTCCCTGCTCATCACTTGTGCCCTGAACCTCACTTTTCACAGACCTCTAACTACATCAATATTCAGAGAACTTGGAAATAAAATCTGACTCCTTAGGAAGTAATAATAATATTTACATGAATGAAAAATTTAAGTGTTTAGAAGAAAAGAGCTTTAGAAAGTGTTATGAAAAGATTTAAGTAGGATCCGATTTGAAAATTAACCACTAGCAGCTAGACCAGAGACTTCATCAGGCTGAGAAGTACTGGATGGTGCCCGGCTACCATCAATGACTGCCCTGACAGGGAACACAATAGAGAGTCCCTGGTGGAGCAGGAGAAAAGTGGGGTGCAGAACTCAAATTCTAGTAAAAAGACCAGACTTAATGGTCTGACTGAGACTGGAGGAGCCCTGGAAAGCATGGCCCCCAGACTCTCTGTCAACCCAGAACTAAACAATTCCCGAGGCCAACTCTGCAGACGAAGATTGGACTGGACTGTGGGACATAAAACGATACTCGTGAATAGTGTGCTTCTTAGCTCAAGTAGATACCTGAGACTAAATGGGCAACTTCTGTCCAGAGGTGAGATGAGAAGGCAGAGAGGGTCAGGAGCTGGTTGAATGGACATGGGAAATCCAGGGTGGAAAGGAGGAGTGTGCTGTCACAGTATAGGGAGAGCGATTAGGGTCATATAACAATGTATGTATAAATTTTTGTATGAGAGACTAACTTGAATTGTAAACTTTCACTTAAACTACAACAATAAAAAAGAAAATTAACCACTAGCAGCACCTTTGTTCGAATGTAGCCCTCTCAGATATTCTGGTGAGATTCATTGACAACAATGGATACCACAGTTCATTTCCAGGCTTTCTCTTCTTGCTGTGTGTCTTATAAACAGAGACAAGTACTTTAATAGCTTTTGCCTCCAAATAGGTTGTACCCATTTGAGCGTAATTCTCCAAATGTCTGGCTTTCTGGATGCAGGTCAAAGTAGGGAGCTACACTTTCTTCATCTATCATTATATCATGGGGTGGGATTCCTTTTCCTTAAAAGCTTGTCATTAATCAGCTGGGAGAGTGGGCCAAGAAATATTGTGTTATATGTGCCTGGAATTTAAAAATAAACATCAGTCATTCAGAATTCTTAAAAGGCCCAGGATAACATTTTGCAGCTGAAGTATCAGAGTTTCTAAATAGAGATGACTTTTTTCCGTTCTTTTTTTATTGTGGTAAGTATATATAGATAACAAAACATTTGCCATCTCAACAACTGTGCAATTCAGTGACATTAATTATGTCCATCATGTTGTGCAACCATCACTACTGTCTGTTTCCAAATTTTTCCATCACTCTGAACAGAAGCTCAGTGCCCCCTAAGTAATAACTTTCTCTTTCCCACTCTCTACCCACCCCTGCCCCCATAACCACTAATAAACTTTAGTCTCCATATAATTGCTTATTCTAGATATTTCATATAAGTGGGATCATACAATATTCCACGTTGGTTGTAGCATGTATCAGGAGTTCATTTTCTTCTAAGTAATGACTTCTGTATTGGTAAATATACTGGGTTCTGTCTGTGTTTTTGCTCCTAAGATCTAGGCTGTGAGAGCTCATTTACTCAACAATTAATAACTGAATGCCCAGTGTTCACCAGGCTCTGAGCTAGGTACTATGGATAAAGTTGTTAAAGCATAACTATTATGATAACATCTTTTTAAAAACTTTGTAATAACCCCCTTCCGTGGGATTCAAGCAATTCACCAGTAATTCACCCTGAATTATGTCCTGTGGAGGATCATGTATAGAGAGACCATGAGTACAATTCCCACTTAACTGCCAAGTGCAGCTTATTTTTTCAGGTTTTTATGAATTGTTAGCTTGAATAACAGGTTGTGGCCTCTAATCCAACAGGAAGCCCTGAAATGTGATAGAATGTTTTATAGGAAGTCATTTGCTCAGTCTCTAAAACCAGGTGAACTGCTTTGATGTCATTTTAAACAGATGCTTTATCTCTTTTGGGTGAATCTCTCTGCATCTGACTTTTGCAGGGAAAGCCAGAGATACCGGGTGTATGTTGTGATACCGCTTCTGCCAGGGTTTGAAGGAGACATTTCAACCGGTGGAGGAAATGCTGTACAAGCAATTATGCATTTCAACTACAGGTGCCACAATTCTAAATGGTCTATTTTGAGCCCTCGGTCAGCCATGAATGTGAGCTGGTGAAGGAGTGGAAATGCTTCTCCACATCCATTCAGCAGAGCTTTGAACAAATGAGCACTCCTTATTTTTCTTCAGAATCTTGGCCTGTTCACTAGTTGATAAAATAAAAATAAAGTCTAAAATCACAAATAGTAGTCCTAGGACACATGGTAAATATCAGAGAACTAAAATATTAATCCTTCTTTGGTATTCATGGTCCATTGTATACATATACACACATATACATATAGAGAGAGATGACATCTTTTGCCTGGTTACAGTGTGGGAGATTTTTAGCTGTGCTTTGGTCTATACACGTGGATTGAAGATTTGCCCATTTCTAAAGTTATCTGATTTATAACATGACAAACAAAGCTTTTCAGTATTTAAAGCACTTCCATAATGTTTAATTGGATTTTATCTGCTTCATTTGCCATTCTAATATTATTTTTGGAGTGTTGTCAATTGTAATTATTTTCTATGACTGTTTTCTTGGGCTTGAACCAACAGAATGAAATAACATGCTTGGCTTTTGTTCAGCAACCCAAACTATAACCTTTTATTATGCAAAACATGTCTATTTGTTGGCATCCTCTTTAATAATATCAGTGTTTCCCAGGCATAAATGTATTTCTAATTACTTTCATAGAGCAAGCAGATGGAGCAGAGACTTTTTGGTTTTATCAGTCTTTGTAATCCTTCAACTGTTATCAGAGCCTTGAGAAATACAAATCACTAACAGAGTCAGTTAGTTGAGACTATGTTTTTAACTTCTAAGTGGGTTTTGCTGATTTTACAGAGACAGCCCAGGTATAATGGTTTCTTACATTTCTAAATTGTTTGCCCTTTTCACCTCTGAAAGCAATGTAATTCTGAAAGTATTCACTGTTGAAGCATTCTAAATTTATCTTTGCTGTCACCAAATTTTCTAAGAGGGAAAATTCATTCATAACCCATCTTTTTTCAATGGCTTCTTTTTCTGAAGTCTAACATTAATTTTGTAACTTTTCCACCGTCCTATCTCAAAACAACTACCTTATCCCATCAATAACATTATAAGAGGGATACGTACATAGTTTTTTAGCTTTTGAAAATATATGTAACATCTTCTTATAGAAGCACTTGTTTTTACTTGAGTTAGGATTATACTCCAGTGATATTTGTAATTGGAATAGGTTGTTTTAAAACCTCCGTAATTGTTTCTTTCCTTTAAATATTTTCAGAACCATGTGCAGAGGAGAAAATTCCATCGTTGGACAGTT